CTGCCCACAGTCTCCGATCAGAACAGGAGCACTGGGCAGAAGAAAGTCTTTTCATAGCTCTGCATTTCTGAGTGTGATTCAGGCAATGCATCCCTACAGGAGTTGTAAAAAAATAGATTTCCATTTGTAACTATTTAGCCCATGGAGTATACAGAAAATAGGGAAATATACACAGATATTATTGGTGACATACTGTGTCTGGCTCCCTTTCTAAGCTACTCTCAACAGTGTGCTTTCAGAATATCCTGCAGGCTGTCAAGTGCAGGTCCTACACCCAAAATGTAGAGAAGCAATTCCTACTCATGCTGTAGTACATTCTGGCCAAAGCAATGCTCTTTCAACACATTATGCCAATTATCAACTGTATAACAAATTCTTGAAAACTAACAGCAGAGAGGTACATGATGCCAATGGATATGGGCTTCCAAGTCTGTTCCCGAAATTAAAATTCTATGTTTATAAAGCCTGAGTGCTTTTTTACAAGAGATCTGTTTACACATGGTATAGCATTGTGCTGTACATTAACAACCATGTTTATCTTCCTGAATCCACCAATAGTAAACCTTTAAACATTTGCCAACTGCCTCAGGGAACTGAATAATAGCATATCATTGTTCACTGTGCTACACTGACAACATGTGTCATCATTCATACAGAATACGCCTGCACATAATGCAGAACATTGGCAAACGCTTGGTTGGACCACAATACCAAGAAATCACACATATCTTCAGAGAGGTCAATTAAAACTGATACACGACACAAAGCTATATTACTATGCTTTGACAGACAAGATTTTGCAACTGAAATGCAGAACTGAACCTACCATGTGCAATCCGTTGCTGTGGATGACGCCATCTTGCTCCATGAGATTTCGGGATATAGTAATGGAGGGGAGATCCAAGCTCTGAGGGGGAAACTGGGGTGTAAAGTCATTTCCTTGTGCTGTCAGCTGGTCACCAAGGCCCTGAAAGGGCAGCAGGATGTCTGCCATCCCCAGTGCAGGGTCTGACTCGGGCGGGGGTGTAATAGGTGGGATTTCGAACTCCTCATCCCCCAGGCTCGGCGTGTGGAACGTCTGCTAGAAAAAGACAGAACAAGGCAAACCACATTAGAGCACACTGTTATCAGCAGCCACACTTGACCAGTCATTCAAGTCTTGTTTTATACTCATATGCAAACTCTATACATAATTAAAAAATTAAAAAAAAAAAAAGTTTCATATACTAACAGGGTTTGTGGATCATTCTGATTAAGGATTTAAGTCTAATTATCATATGGCTTTAATAGAGTATCAGTATTAACAGTTTTTTAATGCGTGCTTAATTAGCAACATCTGTCTTTGTTGTTAGTCCGAGTATCAGCTACACTGGATTTGGCTGTATAACAAATTGCCACTTTATTGATATGTTAGTGAAATAGCACAAACAGCTTATATTGCTCTCATGCTTCATAAAATATCAACAATTTTGTAGCACACACACAACATTAATTCAGAACCGACCATGCCACATCTTTTGTCTCCTTTTTGCCTTCTTCATAAACATGAAATACAACAATTCTGGTCCTTATTTCTTCTCCATCCCATAAGTGCAATGCATCCTTCTACACACCAGTTTTGTAATTTGGAAGAGAGCAATGTACAAAACAGCGCGGGTGATTACCACGGCTTAGTAAAGCCAGCCAGCTTTGTTTAAACAGTAGGTTTGTTGCAAACCAAACACCTGTTAAGATGCCTTTAGCAAAACATTTACTGCCAGTTATCTACAGTGTCTGTGCATGTTCGTACATGTGCATGTGTATGTCGTAGACGATCTTTATTCAAGCAGAGCCTGTATCTGGCTTCAACATTGCTGACTTTTATTTGGCAAACAAATGAGCTATGCTTATTCAAATTTCTTGCGAGTTAAATGAACTTTCATATATTATTTCAGGTCCACTGCTACTTAATAATAGAAATCCAGTGCTTGAAATTAGGCCATTTTAAATGGACCCAAATCAGGACTGTCTTGATCAAACTGGGCAGTTGGCAATCCTAAAATAGGCACTCTGTCTTGTTCTGGACATGCAACGCTGCTCTGGGACTTGTTTGTTTGTATTAGTTCAGGATTCTAGATGAGAGGGGGGAAATTGTTTTATGTATTATTTACATTGTTTGAAAGAGTGACTTAATGCCAGTTAATTTTAAAATGATATGTTCAGTGAAAGATCTCATTAACTGCTGCAAATTGTCATCCTTCAAACTGTTAATGATGATATAAATTAATAACCGCTTCAGAGAAGATGGAAACCGAAACACAGGAAAAACCTTTGCTTGCATATAGAACCTGTCAGCTGTCATTATTGGTCTCGCACCAGAAATGATGAGGTCCCAGACTGCTGCGGTCTGCAGTACCGTCAGCCTGCTGAGATGTGAGAACAATCCTGTAACTTAATTCTGGACGTGAAGGCTGGGCCTGGATGTTTGACTCTGCTGTATCACAAAAGGTGTGATTTCTTCTCCCTGTGGATCCCTTAGTCCACAAACACAAAGGATGGATTGGCCACGAGAAGTGGTTGGCTAATGAACATAACCCTATGGCTGCATTTGCAGTTATTTTGGCACTAATGTGGTCTAGTAACAGATGCAACTGTAATTTGTGACTCATTTGCTACCCCATTACTGCTTAATGAAATCTAACATATCACATTAACAATACGGATAAACACTCATTCTTGATATGTGGCATTTGGCTGTTTTCATTACCACTGTAATTAACACTTGAAATATTATTTCAATAAATATTTAAGGTGTTTTAAAATGGGTCGTGGTAATCATGACATAGAGACAGAAAACATAAAGCAAATGTGAAGCTTCTTAGCCTGAATGTGCTCTAGGATTACACTCTTAAGGCATTATTTACAGGAATAAAATGGGCTTCCAGCTTTGCAGTGCTCATGCCCAAAATGCTAGCGAGAAATCTACAGCCGTGCTAATGTAAAAACACTATAATTAAACCCATTGTAATACAGTAATTGCAAACTTAGGCTTGTGCTTTAATGCAAGTGCTAACACTTAATGATATTTTCATTCCTTGTTCAAGCAAAAGGGTTCGGTGAAATCAGTATCATAGTGCATTTGAACCTCCCTTTACCCATTGTATTTATGAGATAGTAGTAATTAAAAGAATTGGATCTTCTTTCCTCATCTAGTAGAATAAATCTAGGACATCTGTGTAAATACGTAACACAGCCAGGCAATAATACTCAATTTTACTTAGAGAAACAACATTGATCTTAATAGTCACAGCTTAGTATAAAAGGGAAAGTGAATTGATGAATGCAATAACAATTTTTTAATCGTAAATTTAATTCTCACAGTGTAACTTTTCCAAGTACGTGTGTACCCTTCTAAAAAACATATCAAGGACTTAAGAATGAAGATGAAATAGATGTACTCTAAGAAGAAAGAAAGCCCCTAAGTGAAGAAGTCTTAAATTCAAATCACTGGGCCACTCAGACAGCAGAAGGGCTCTGCATAGCATGCAATCCAGGATTTCGGAAAGGTGCTGTTATGCCTAAAAGAAGGTCTAACATTTGTGAGATTCATCTTACCATTTTTTTTTTAACTTATTAACTTTTCAAATATTTATAAAAACACACAGACACAAAAACTGTGTGCATGCTTAAATGCCATCTGTACTGAAATGTTCAAAACATTTGTTCCTTTTGATAAAAATGCAAATCTGGAGAACTGTTGTATCAACATTTAACAGCCAATGTCTGACACGGTGAATTATCACAGCTGGAATTAAATTGTCTCTGAACAGCTGCTGGCAGCAGAGCTTTCATCAATGTTTGATTCAAATGTAGGAAAGAAATTCTACAGAAAGAAACATCATGTTGTCATTACAGATGGGGTTTGTGTTCATTATCACAAATAACACTGGAGCTAGTGCCAAACAATATTCCCTTATCTAAGCAGTCTTGCTGGGTAAAAAGAGATGGTGGCCATTGTATAAGTGATTCATAAAATAAGACTCTTAATTCCAATCTTCATATTTATTGTTACACTCTTCTACTTATTTTCTCCGAGATCTTTTTTTTTTAATATTCTGAGAATACTTGCAACTGAATTACCACTTACAACATGTGAAGTCATTGCTGCCCAGGTTTTAACCTCTTCTTACGTCTGGAAGATCGTTTATGGGATGCACGCTATATAAAAACAGTGTTCTTTACATTGACACACAGATTACAAGGCAATGCCTCCTGCACTTTCCATCCTTTCACTCTTTGGAATAAAAGATGTTGATTCTTAGCAATGAGCAAAAGGTGTTTCTGTATGGAGCTGGGGTCAATATTAGCATGTTGATGGACTATCAGCTGACTGCAAGGGGCCCCCCTGTAACAACAAATGCACGCAGGCCATAGCTGCCATGCCTTCCTCCCATCTCCCACCCAAAACCACTGAGCACACCTCTCAGCTCACAGCCCAGGCAGCCCCCCCTACCCAGCCCAGGTTTGTTCCCAGCCCTGTTCCCTCATGCAGCATGCAGCCTTCAGGAACAAAGTTAGATTTGTTCTTCTAACTTAGCTGACTATTAAGAACCCAAATTAAAATATTTGTATCTATAGCAAAAATTACACATTAGCTAGGATTGCCTGTTACTAAGTTTGTTTATTTGCTTCCTTCTGTTTATGATTTTTTTTTGTAATTAAAGCAGATTTGTTTCTATTGACATGCCATGTAAGTAACAGCCTTATGGACAGCTAAATTGACTAGTAATGGAGAGCTGTCAGGTTATTTTCTTTCTCATTAAAGTCTTTATTTTGTGCTCCATAAAACACACTGAAATTCAGCCCTTCATTCTTCACCCATTCACAGTCTGTTAAATTATCTAAGCACAGTAGAATATAAGCATAGATAAAACAAAGAAAAGAAAAACATCTACCTCATTTGCAGCAAGAAATGCATTATTTGCCTCTGCCATGTTCATGTAGTTGTTATTGTTTCCAAACTGAAAGAAAAATAAATATTTGGATTTTAATGCATGCCACCATTTTCATTTTCCATCATGAAAAATGTTTTAAAATACAAAAACACAAGACAAACAGATAAGATGTGATTTTGCACATGTCCTCTGAAGTCAGAATCAGATTCCATGTGACAGTGTTGTGATTATTACATTCTCTCCATCCCCAGACCTGTACACGAAAGATCTCCAAGCGCATTTCTTTGACCTTCTGTGTACTGAGGCCACCCCACAGACCTACAGATGCCTTTGGAAATCAAGTGCTCATTACTAATGGACTATTCTCCATAATAAATAAATAAATAAATAAATAAATGCTACGCTTTTCCTGATGCACATAATTGTACTTTGCAGATGATTCTGATCTTGTGGACAGCTGTAGTTAGAAGTAGCTGCTGTATTAAAAGAGATGAAGGTAAGAAAGGGAAGAGCATCTGCAACATTGCTTTTAAAATCCCATTCTATCTACAAACTAAATAGCCAAACAATCCCCCTTTGTCCATCACTCATTCCAGTTGAGCTCCCACTCCCAAACAACCTGGAATGCCAGGAGACTTCACCCATCAGAGGAACTGCTTTATGCTGAGATCCCGAGACGTGCCCAAGGCAGAGGTGCTGAGTGCCTCACTCATGCAGTGCAGCTCCCATGGGGGTGAGCAGGAAGGACTCAACAGATGCCATCAAGCCATTTCAACCCAACATTGAAGTACGAACATTTGTGGGTAAACATAAGTACTTTTTCTTCTATAGACTGAGCACAGAAAGGAAAAGACTATCAGCATTTGGCTAATTGGCACTGAGCATGCTTATTCTCATAAAAGGCATTTCCAAAAGGCAGGCAGGTATTTGATTTGAGGAACAGACAGCACACGTTCAAGTTTCTAGTCTTGGGCACAGCACACATTGCAGAGATCCCAGTGAAAGCGAAGCATCACCACCACGATGCCCAGCCTTGCAGTGCTGCTCCGGGTCTGCACACAGCACCTCCTTATTCTCATGTTTGTGACTTCTGCAAAGCAACTTTTTCCACCGGCTTTCGTTTTATCTTGCCAGACTCCCAGCAGCATTCAGGAACAGAGGGGGACCATAGAGCAACTCTTCCAAGAGTGTTTCTTTCCCATAAAAATCCAAATTCTTTTCTCAAGTGCTGAATCTTTCAGCTTGTATCACATTAAGAAACAGAAATGTTTACACATTATGTAAGCTGCTTCACAGCTATTTAAACTCTGCTTTCCTTAGCTACACAGGAACTCAAATAATGTCATCCACTTTTAAATCTCAGACATCACTGGGGAGGGAATTTTAAAAAATAACATGAAATTAAATTGCACCTTTAAGTTACTGTTTTGGCTCAGAAAGATGCGTGCATGGATACCAAGACATAATTCTACAGCTCAACACCAGGATCAACAAGATAGGCAGGTTTTTTTCATGTCAGTTAGAGACAAACTAAGAAGGTTTTGCATGAAAAAAAACCCTCAAATGGTCCCAATAGAGCTGTTGTTTTGACAACAAAATAATAGTAATAATAATAATAATAATAATAATATCAGTTTTTCAAACTGTACCTAAATGCACAGGTAAAACAAACTTATATAGCTGCAACACTGGATAAATGAATGGGAACAAACCCAATCCTATTTCCATTAGCTTAGAGTCCTAGGGCCTCCAGAGCCACAAATGAGAATGCAGCTGAATTTTACCTTGAATAATACAACTCTACATTATTTTGATCAACATGCATTCCTCACATCACAACTACTGCCAGTTTGAATGCCAAGCATGATTTATAAGAATAATGCATAGGAGAAAGTGAATGCACACTATTCTATTTTATTAAGACTGAGAGAGTAAATGATATAATGAGGACTGCCAAAGCTAGAAGTTGCAGCTACGTGGCCCTGTGGCTCTTATAAGGATACAATATTTAGGACTCTGTGGTACATGGCTCAAGCACTGATGTCAGAACCTGACACATTTAAGCTTTTGTTAATATGGATAAAAAAAACACTGCAATTTATTTTTTTCTCTCTGAATTAGAAATCCATTTAAGGCACACAACAATTATCAGTGAGTATTTCTAAGATTAACATTCCTTATTATCTAATGGTACCTATAACAACAAAAGAAAATAAAATGGTTATTATCTTAAGGACCTAAACAATTCAAAAAACAAATTAAGCTTAGAGTGAAATAAGAACTGGGTTAGAAATCCTCTTCTGAACAGTTAGTCTGCGAATGTAATTACTGAAGAAACTACAGCTAATCAGCTGTGAATTGTATCCATTAATTAGTATTTGCCCTGGAGAAATGAGAAAAATCAGTAACAATGTTAACACTGCAATGCACTGATGAATACTGAAACACAGGGCCCTCAGCGTTTAGTCAAGCAGGTGGCTCCAATGGTCCAAGTAATTTAAAAAGCTCTCACCTGAAGTGCAGAGCTGGAATTACAAAGCACTTCTTGCATATCTTTGTATCTATATAAGGCTATAATTAATGGCTTTTAATTTAGAAACGCTTTATGATCAGTGGGGAACAGTTATAAATCATTCTAAATAGAACAAGGGGTTCTTGCCTATTTTAGTAAAATAATTTGGGAAAGATGTTTTCTGTAAAATGACTCTTGTTACAATCAATGCTTTTCTCCTTTAGTTTCTGGCGGATCACTTGCCCAGACCCCTCATAAACATGACAGAGCATCCCTCCACTTGACAGCGGGCATTCAAATTAAAGGGTCAGATCCGGCAATTGTGTCTGCCCAGGTACAGCCCTGTGGGGTCCCACCTCCACCTCCTGTGTTTCCCTGGGTCAGAGCAAGACTCAGATGCAGCACCTCGTTCAGCTATCTTTTTGTTTCATGCTGGCTTTGTGACGCTTTGCAAATGAGTTAGCCATAGCTATGAGCAAGGTTTTGCATGAACTTTTAGCATCTAAATATCTCACAGCACTCAGTTCTGTAACCACAAAGGAATAGGAACTTTCCAGCTTCCTTTGTCAACATCAGTGTGTTGTGTTTTTTTTACAAAAATAGTTGTTGCCTTTCAAGCAATATCTGCAATGTCAATCAAAGCAAACACTACAACACTACTTGTTTCCTTTGATTCTAGGAACTCAACAAACTCCATCTTAAGGTTCAAGAAACATTAAGCTTGAGTGTCATACCTTATTGTCACGGCAAATCAATGGAAACCATCCATACACATATGTTGATTTTACAGAACGGACTGCAAACAAACAAAACCTCTTCTGAACTTACTGTGAAACACAGCTTACATTCTTCATGCAAATTATTGCACGTAAAGTATGACAGTTCAGTTCTCTACTCTTCTGCTACAAGGGCCCTTGAAGTGGCCCTGCTGCACTCCACAGGCACTGAGAAGAATGCTGTTGGGAGGCTGGGCGTTTGCTTACTAACACCTTGTATAAAGAATGTCAAGAAAACTGATTGTTTCTAAAATAGTTCATTGATGCTCTTCTCTTAGCCGTGACTACTCAACCTAAAGCCCAACATGTAGGCTTAATGCTCTTTTGTAGAAAGAGTCTGTATATGTAATGACATACACTTATGACATACGTATGACATACACTCTATCTTTCCCCAGTGCATGCCCTAAGGAAGACCAAATCAGCTCCTGCCTAGACTTTAAAAACCGTATCATTGCACTTCTGCAAACTACATATTTTCAAAGACCAAAAGTAGGCCAGACATTACAGTAACTGTGCATCAAAACGTGACTGGGCTTCCAAACCACCCTTTGTAGCTACCAGAGATTAAAAATTGTTGGGTTCTGAAAGCACCAAAACAAACAAATTCACATAAATCAAGGAACTGATGTTCTAAGAAGTGTGACATGGTTGGCTTCATTAAATAAATCTTGACAGCTGGGGATACAAATCAGTCACTAAATAGCCAGGGAGTTTGAATTCCTAAAACAACAGCAACAAAAAACCCACTAAAACTTCAGAAAAATCCCAAAAGATTAAATATGAACCACTCCTTGAGTTCTTTTGCAGCTCTGATGAGTCAAAAGCCACAGCAAGAAATAAGCAGAATGAAAGTTTACACCATGAAAACATAATACACATAAGTATAAAGACTGAAACTTATTGTTATTAGTTATGAAGTTGTTCTGGACACAGTATAATTTTGAACATATAAATTTTATGGGAACTTTGCTACTGATTTTAATTGAAGTTTTTTTGTTAGAACTCTGGACATTTCTATCTTTAAGTCAACCTAATTGTGATGCAACTCTAATCTGAAAAGCATTGCAGCTCATATCCACTATTCATTGGCAAAACAAGGGTAATTGGAGACATATTTAAGGAACATAAAATTAGGCATACAGCTACCCAGATTTTTCTCTGAGCATCTCAATGGAACAAACAAGAATTTTTATAAATTATAAATATAAATTATAAATATTTTATGCTAAAGAGTAAAATGAGATTCATCAGGCAAACCACATTAGGTTTTTTAAATAAGTCCTTTAATAATAATGCTGGTTAATTTAGCAATGCAAGAAAAAAAGAGAGGATAGGATTGGGTAAGTTACTGTTCCAGCACAGAATAAAAGTAAAACTATGGAATGTGAATAAATGTTCCAAATGAAAAATATCAAACAAAATAAGTATTAAAAAACTGCACACATTTTGTCATCTTCTCAGAATATACCAAGAAACTGACATTTGGCTTAAACAGAATGATTGCAATTCTGTACACAAAGATTATATATCATTAATCTGAGAATAAATAAAAGATTCATTGGAAATGACTACAGAATTCTCCTCTCCCTCCTCATGACTCTAAGAGTCCTTTCACAATTATTGGTTAATTTTCATCAAAGCATACATTTTAAGTTTCTCAGCTCAGATACTCCATAGTATCTTCAGACAAGAATTCTGACTGGCTTGATGCTGAACTTCTGCCTGCAAAGTAGTGCTAAGTTAGTTCTGTCATGTCAGAGCATTACAAGTGCACT